AATTTTAAGGGAATTTCAGACGTTTCCACTAAAAAATGGCATGCCACCAAAGTCAGCTGATTGTGCAATTAACAACTTTTGTTAAGACCGTGTGAAACAATTTTAAATGCTTAAGCTAATATATTGCGATAACAAAAGCAAAAATTACACAAAATAATAGTGAATCGTTTCAGATCAGATATTTACAATTATAATTTACTAAAAACACTAAAAGCTTTGTCTGTGTTATGTGCTTTTCTCCTCGTAAATCGTGTTTTGATTGTGGGTATATTATAGACTAACAGAGGTGCACAGGGTAATATATGGGAAAGTTGTTAACCAATATAAAATTAGTTTTTGTAGCATCTTTTTGCCACTTTTCAAAAAAATCGTCCTTTTCCGGACTAATATGTGTTTGTAAATGCAAAACTGCTTGAAGTTTGGAGAAGAAGGTATCGTTAAATGATACATGATACACAAAAATGTTGCAAACGACAATAACATAGTGAAGATTAACTAAAATGTAAAAAAAAATTGTTAATATAGAAAAACCAATATATGGTGTTGAATTAAATATTTTAAAGGCTTTAAAATTTTAGGAATTTATAATTATTAAAAATTTTACGTTATATTTTTTGAAATTTATTTAAGTTGGGCATGGTTAAATTTAAAAAAAAAAATCAAAAACCGAATTTTGTTCATAATTGTTGCAAGTAATGTGAAAAATTTAAAGGCTCTATCATCAAATTATTAACCTATGCCAATAATACGGCTAATATATTTTGGATTAAATGGAGAAAATAGAAATATATAGAGAAATACAGAAAATTTCTGTCGTAAGGTCGCATGTGGGTTGAGAAATTGAAATATGATAATTTGAATTTAATAATTGAAAATTTAAAAGAGGGCAATATTGTGTTGGTTATGGATACAGATTTATCCATAAACGTTTGGCCAAAGGTAATTACTTGATATTAACGTTTTGAAAAGACCAATCGTTAAATTAAACTAAACGTTAAGAAAACCATGTAAAACTTAAGTATTCCTAACTGAATAATGTTGTGTGAATAGACTTTTAGTCCTAGACGTACTCTTTTAGCACGGCAAAACCTTTCGGACCCGTAATTGGATTGTGGAATTTGGGATAAGGCCGGTATTTATACGATGTTTTTAACGCTCTCCCAAGGTGTAATTTGGAATAATAATAATTATACTTTTGGAATTAATGCAGCGAAAAGTATTTGCTTAACAGTTTGGGCGAGTTAACATATTCTTATTGCTTAAAAGCCTATTCATCCAGGCGTTTTTCCTGCCTGCGACTAAATGTGATAAAAAGAGAGGTAGTAGAAAGCTGTAAATTCGGATGTGATTAATTATTTCTTAAGTATTTATAGCTTATTTCCAACCATCTTTGTTTATATTTTGAAGAGCTATCCTCTGTGGAAACCGGAGTTTCACTTTTTTCAAAAATCCCAACGGTATTTCAGGTATGGACTGCGAGGAAAGAGGTTGGATGCCTGAAACATCGGTTAACTATCGCAAAAATTTGACCGTCGAAGTCCGTCAAATTTTAACGGCGGACTAACTGGGATATTTTGGAAATACAAAACCTTATGGACCATCCCTTTAACGGATTTTGGAAGGTGGATGGATCTCTGTGGAAATACGCTATTAGATGATTTTTACTTGGTCATTTTAGGATTTTTTGAAGATGAAAATGCATTTTGGCCAAGTTTGAACATATATAAATTCGATAATATGAAAGAATAGAAATGTATTGGCTCTCATTTGACCTACGGTGCAAGGAGATGGTCATCCTTAAGTTAGAGCGGAAAATCACATATTAATAGAGGGAATTCCAGCATAAATAAATGGATCGGTTGGTCACCATGGGCTAACATTAGTGGATAAATCATTAGCAGAGGAAAAACTTTCTGCATGCGAATGTCAAAATTGTATTACATTTGGCCAATTTCTCAATCGTTCCCCTTCGATGTGCTCTGTGGGACTGGTTAATTACGTATTCCCACAAAGATCAATCAACCATGACTTGAATGGATAATGATATGCTGTTCCGAAGTTTCCCATGTATTCCGCCATCCAAATGTGTCCGGCTTATTTACAGTTATAGCCCAGTCCCACAGAGCACATCCAAGCGAAACGGTTGGGTCTTTAACTCCATCAAGCTCCTTATAAGACCTTTTTCAGCTTTTATTGTATTTTAATGTTGGGATTACTGGTTAAATGGTTATCTGAACTCCTAAATAATGGCTCACATATACTCTGTACTCAAATTGCTGGAGGTGCGTGAACCTCCCGCCTTTCTCTTTCGACTACCCTTTCGTTCACAGCAAGACTTCAGAGTTGCACCGAAAAACGTCCGCTAAATATCGGTTAGAAACGTGCGGTTAGGGACGTAAATTCCACCGTCAAGGAATAAACGGGAAATCTGTGGCACACAAAACCTTACGTACCATCTTTGAAAGAGTTGGTGGATGGTGCTTTATAGGACTAGGCCAATACAATGATATATCGGCCTATACGAACATTAAATCTAATCTACTAATTATTTTAAGCGGTAGTCCCACTTGCAAACAAAATATTAAATCCGTTAGAGGAAAGAGCTTGAAACAAAATACCCAATTTAGGTATTTTCTAATAGACCGGTCCCATAGAGCCCATTCAAGCGAAATGGTTGTGATTTTTGTTGAATGATGGACTGGTGCTCCCACAGAACCACCATCCATCCGCCTTTCACCAACTGCCGTCCATCAAAAGTCATGCAGAATATTTTGAGGGGTTCTTTCAATCTATCAAACTCTCTTAAAAGTACTTATTCCGGCTCATATTTTATTTGAATGTTTTGGGTTAGTTTTTAATGGTTATCTGAACTTTTAATTAATGGCTTGTTTCTTTTCTGTATTCAAATAGCTGCCTGGCGATGCGTTAACCTCCCAGGCCGCCCTACTGTTTCCAGTACGCCTCTGGTTCACAGAATTAAAGATGGCCGCCATTTCAATTCCAATGCATTGGCGCCAAGACTTTAAAGTTTCACCGAAAAACACCGGCTCAATATCTGCTAAAAACGTGCGATTAGGAACATTAACTGCACCGTCAAGGAATAGCCGAGGAATTTATGATAATGCAAAACCTTACGGACCACCTTTAAAATAAGATGTGGTGGATGGTGCTCTGCGGGACTAGGCCATAAGAGTGTGTTTTGAAACTGACTCTTTGTGGGCAGATGTTCCCCATCGTGTGCAAACCGATTTATCTAATGCAAATTTTAAATGTGTTTTCGCTTTTCTTTTTTTGTTAACAAATTTTGAATTACCTGCCTACAAGCGAGTGTCACATAATTTCGGATTCATAAAAAACGCCCAGTGTCATAACGCCCCCTTTCAAAGTGGCAAAGCGTTCAAAGCACTTTTTCAGAAATATCATTACACTTTCAAATAATTTGGGTATTCCCTAAACATACCACAAAGTTTCCTGCTGAAATTGTTTAACAGCTGCTACCAATCGGCCGATACAGCTGTTTTTTGTAATAATCGGTAGCTTCGCTTGTCTTAGTTTTTTTGACTTCGAGGATATTGCCTATGAAGTGCAAGAACACGAACTATCGGATTTATTAAAAGTCCCTGGACTGTCTTTCTTCCTTATTTGTATACAATTGTTGACTGCTTCTATGGTTGGACCAGTGTTAACTTCTCAACTTTAGTAGAAAAGCACTAATACCCTGGCTTATAAGCAATTCAACGAAAAGAAATTTAATTTTAAATCTACCAATTCTTATTTATAATTGGTCAAGCTATTTGCTCTATCTGTCCTCTTCAAGAATAGCATCGAAAGAGAGAGCATGATATTCTTTGGGTATTTCAGCCTAAGCAACATGCAAGGGAAGCTCTCCTTAAAAAATTTTTTTAACTTATTAAAAACAAGTTTCAGGCTAAATATTATTAATAAAGGTCTTAACTTTCATTTTACAACAAAAAGTATATGTAGTATGTGTTGTGAGCTTTCATGGTTTGTATTTTCGGTGTTTGGTTAGAGTTTTAGTTGTGATGGCATTCTTTGTCACAAACAAATCTTTTTGTATAATATTCTAAAGCATTTTAAGAATATAAGAATGTTTAATTCGAGTGCCGAAAGTTGCCGACGGCTTGCAATTATACAAAAAGGTATCCTTACCTCGATTTAAAAAAAAACTGCTTCTGCTGTTTGTTGTTGTTTGTTGCTGTTTGTTGTTTGTATTGTCGTTTGTTGTTATTTTTGTGTTATGTTTTGTGTTTATATTCTTTTCTTTAAAATAATAGCATATTATTTCCTTAGGAGTGCCAATTTTCACTTTTGCGTTGTGTTCTGTGTCGTAGCAATGAAAGCTATATGATATAGTTGTCCGATTTCAATAATGTTAAAACCGAAACTCGGGAATATTAAACTATTACTAAATCTTAAAGAACTAAACAAAAAAAGTTATAATCAAAAAGTTTTAATTTTTTTTTTCATTTCTTTCCCGATTGTTCCTATGAAAGCATATAGTGGTACGATCTGGCCAATTCTTGTGTTATATATATTAATAACATTTTTCTAGTTACAAGTTTGATACAAGTTTCAAAGCGATAGCCCCTCTAGAAATATTTATGGCCGCGGCTCCCATAGAACACCGACAGTTGATTTTTTAGGGAGCCGCTGATCGATTTTTAGTTTTCAGAGATTTAGTCGTTTAGGGATTACACAAAATTTATTTTTGAGCTAAGACAAAAGTAAAAAAATGTTTTCATACAAATCGCGCGAGTTTAAGTAACTTTCGATTTCTCTGCAAATGGCAAGCAAATAGTTGACAATTATTTTCAAAAAAATTTTACATATCAATCAGGCCAAAGTTCTCCCGCATGTTCCTTGATAATCGTTCTACAATTGTCACAAAGTCACCGACGCTAGCTTAACCCACATGAAAACTTTGGTATTTATTTTTTGGTAGGATGGTATTTTATGTCGACCACGGTAGCACTGTTTTATGAAAATTGATTCACTGCTAATCTATTTAGCGAACTGTTGTTTTGTTTAACTTGGTAAAAAGCTTTAGCCAAAATTGATCCATCAACGATTGAAAATGTTACGGGCGTGAGCAACGCCAACGAAAGCGTTTGCCGAAGCTCAGAACAAAAAGGTGTTATTGCCAAAAAAACATCAAGCTCAGGCGAAGGCTTGGGTTGCTGGGGACCCGCGGCAAGAAGCCATCAACTCGTGCTTCTTGCGAAATCGGAAAACATGTTAGGTGATCAGAAAATTTTGCTAAAAGGACATTCTTCACAGTATGTAAAACTAAATGTTGGTGGTCGCTTGTATTATACCACAATTGGAACATTGACTAAAAATAATGACACAATGTTGAGCGCAATGTTTAGTGGTAGAATGGAGGTACTGACTGACTCAGAAGGTTTGTTCTAGTTTATATGTCCAAATATAATAATAATAATAAAAAAAAACATTTTAGGTTGGATTTTAATCGACCGCTGTGGAATTCATTTTGGAATCATTCTTAACTTTTTAAGGGATGGTACTGTTCCGTTGCCCGAAACTAACAAGGAAATCGCTGAATTACTTGCCGAGGCTAAATACTTCTGCATTACAGAGTTGGCAATGTCTTGTGAACGGGCACTATATGCGCACCAAGAACCGAAGCCAATTTGTCGAATTCCACTGATAACTTCACAAAAAGAAGAGCAGCTGTTAATCAGTGTATCTTCAAAGCCTGCTGTTATTCTTGTAGTGCAGCGGCAAAACAACAAGTATTCGTACACAAGTACATCGGATGACAACTTACTAAAAAATATTGAACTCTTTGATAAGCTATCTTTGCGGTTTAATGAACGAATTCTATTCATTAAAGATGTGATTGGGCCAAGTGAAATCTGTTGCTGGTCCTTTTTCGGGCACGGGAAAAAAGTAGCAGAGGTATGTTGCACTTCCATAGTTTATGCAACTGATAGAAAGCATACAAAAGTGGAGTTTCCGGAAGCGCGTATTTACGAAGAAACTCTGCAGGTACTGCTTTATGAAAATCGCAATGCTCCCGATCAAGAGCTCATGCAGGCGACTTCTTCAGCCCGAGTAGGAAGTGTCAGTGGAACCAGTATGCATCAGTATACAAGCGACGAGGAGGAAGAACGCACTGGGCTGGCGCGATTAAGATCTAATAAGCGGAATAATCCATCCTAATTTACGTATAAATTGAAAATTAGTTCGATTTTATTTCTAACGAAATTATACTTATGTATATAGGTAAAAATAATAAGGTAACGATTGTTCGACAAAAAATTATATTTTTAATAAAACTTAAAATTTCTTGTAGTGTGATTTTTTATATATTTTGCAAGTGACTATTAAACAAAAACGATATCGAACATATACACCTCTTAGGGAGGTAAAAAGATCGTGAGAACTTCACCTCCACTGGCTGCTGAAATACTCCTTGCGAGTTCAGCGGCGTTATATGTTGGGAGAACTTATCTCCGTTGCACTTAAGTAGGTAACCATTTAAGTAAAGCCAGCGTTAGCTGGAGTTCAATTTATGCGCTGTGCACGGTTTATTACAAGAAATTCAAACTAAAACTTATCTAAGTGTACGTCAGCTAAGCGCAACCGGCAACCCGACAGCTCGTACAGCAAAGTGCTGACACTAGCAAAAACCGCATAACATTCCATACCGTGCACCAATAGAAACCAACCACGGCCCCTCAAGACGCTTATGCTGAATCTGCATACAAGCACTAGGGTGATCCAGTAATCACCCAAGATCTATATCGACTTATAATTACTCATTAGCAATGTCAACTACTCTTCCCTTAGAAATATGAACGTCCTCGGTCATCTGGAATTTGTCAACTGGAATTTGGATCTTCTGCGCATCTCGTCTCCTCCCCAGCATCAAAATGACTAGGAAGGAGCAGCTGATGAAGAGCCTGGCTCCCACGCCGACTGCTAACCAGGTGTCGGTAGTTCCAGCCGACTTCACTTCCTCCCTAAGCCCTTGGATAACCTCCAAGTTTAGGTTGTTAATTTTTTGAAGAAGTAGCATGCTTAGCGTGGGGTCGTGGTCGATGATGTTAAGTAACGGCGAATCAGCAATGCCCGGAGTTGTTATAGTTGGTTTGAGTATTTGGTGCCATTAATAAAAGCAACTCGATCAAACGTAACGTTGTGTGAGCCGTTGGTGGTTATCTCGGGGCCGTTGTCAGTGCTGACTTTAGCTAGGCACTCGTTTATTATTATTACCCCGCCGTCTACCAATGTAATGGGGCATAAGTAGCTGACCTGCGTCTCGAATAGTACAGTTCTCCCCGCGTGTAGGCCTCGAGCACAAGTATCGTAAGCCGCCAGCTTGCAAAACAATGCGTAAGTTGTTAGTACGCAATCGGTGACTGCTAACACATCGCTGTTGCATTCGGATACTTTGTTCTCCTTTAGTTGCAAAATGGTGTGGTGATGTGATACAGGGAAAATTGTGACCTTTTTACGCGTAGTTTTAATATCAGGGTATGCGATTAGCACATGGATAATAATATCGGTCTGAATGATTTTAATGTTAGACGCCTCTATTATTCTAATAATGGGGACTGGGGTGATCAACAAATAGAAACTTCAAATCTTTTTGATTAAAAATTGCATTACTCATAAGGTCGGTATTGACTTCTAACCATTTTCCCATATGTGATTCTGGGAACAAATAAGACAGCCTACTAGTTTCTTCTATCATCATTAAAAATTCGGACAAATTGCTGGAGTGTCGAAGCAAGTTTCTCTATTCCAAAGAAAGATTACATCTACTGTGTATAAAATGAAGAAGGTATGCTAAAGCGTAGGGTGTATGAAAATAAAGTGGAACAATTGAAAGGTTCTTTTTTTAAGGTTGTCCTTGTGGACAACCCTCTAATAAAGACAGACGTTCCCATGTCTGATGGTACACGCTCTTTTGTGTACAGTGCGGTTAGTTTATTTCCTTACTTTTTCTCCTACCTCAAAATTTCGGTTTTGTCTAGTGGGGTTGCACCTTTCTAGATTGGCTTGTGCATTTTCAATATTGCTTATTATTGCTGCATTTATCGTCATTGGCTGAGTGCAAGGCATACTTGGGCTGCACCCTTGTCACTGGATGTAACGAGCAACGAGCTCAACGGTATCGTCAACCTTTTTATCGATTATAATACACCAAGCTATCTCTGTTAGGGTACTGTGAAATCGCTCTACTTGCTCGTTGGAGCTGCTCTGTAAAGGGGGTGCATTAATAATACCAATGTCATATTGATTTTTCTATAACAAGGTTATGATCTCCGAGTTGAAGGACGCATCATTATCTAAATATATCGTTTTGATATTTGGGAAAAAATGTATTAGTTGTAATATGGGTTTGCGTACATCGACTATGGACCTCGAAGGTAATGGCTGTACTTAAGCGAATTTTAAAAATTTATCTATTCAGGTTAGGAATAACTTCTTAGCCGTAGGGGGTAGGTGTGACACTCAACTCCTGCTTCTTAGGGCATCTGTTGTTCTTCACCTTGGTGCATGTCTTGCAGTTTATGACCACTTCGTTGGTGAGTTTGGACATATTTGGAAAGTAGTAATCCTGCGGGCCTTGCTTAACATTTTCCTAGGCAGCCCTGTGGGCGCGGTTGTGTTCGCATGTAACTACTTCCCTCTGCTCATTTGCATCCGTTATGTCATTCACGAATTTCTTGCAGTGCCAGAACTTGATTGCTGGGAATTCCGTTGGATGCATGCTAGTGTGGGGAGGTCGTAGTAAATAGCGTTAACAATATCTAAGTTAACCAACTCTTTTACTAATCCGAACAGTGAGTCCTTGTCGAAAGCGAGACATGTGTTTGTTAACAGTGCCGTTGTCTCCCTTAAGTATGGATGTAAGTGGTCTAGCTTTGGTAACGAAGTCTTTGACAGAAAAACCTGAGAATAAAAAATTTTTTTGGTTCAGTATACTCCTGGATGGTTTTTACCATTTCCGGGAATGTTTTGGCTCCGTTTGATGTAACAATGAAACCTAGAAATTCAACGCTTTCTTTGAAGAACTTGGATTTGTATGGTCCCACTCTCACCGGCATTTCAGGACTGTGTCAATGTGTCTTACGTGGTCAGCAACATTTTCGTAACAAATTAACACGTCGTCTACATAGACGTAACAAATTTTCCGTGTCTGTTCACGTAGCACATCGACAATCGCCCTTTGGAAAATGCTTTCGGCATTTTTTAGTCCACAGGGTAGACGGCAAAATTCATACTTTCTTCCGTTTATGGAGAAAGCAGTTTTTTCGCGGTCTCTCTGCCAGATAAATCTAGTGGTATCCTGATATTAAATCTAGAGTAGTGAACAATATTTTCCTTTTCTAAGTTCGCTAGAATCATAGGAATACATGGCATAGGATAACGATCTTCTTATTGATATCTGCAACAAGTCCCTTTTTATCAACAACCCATGTTGGGCTGTTTAATGGTGACCTAGAAGGCCGGATAATGCCGTTCTCTAACAGCTATTTGATTTCTGTGTTTACGAAATCTGCTGCTCCCATGGGGTAAGGATATAGTTTGGAATATACGGGTTCGTTAGTCTCCGAATTGTAGCAATGATCGAGGTATTAAAAGGTACTTGTTTCCTCTTAAAGATAATTTTTTTAAATTTTGTTTTCACTGAATTTGGTACTATTAAGTCATCGATATTTGTGAAGTTCACATTATTGCATTCGTGTTATTTGAGCTGATATGTTTCCATACCTGATTACGCTGTTACGTAGATTTTATGCCTTTCCGGCTTGCGTTAGCAAGTGGGAACCTGTGATGGCATCAAACGTGTTATATACGTGGTATATAGTAAAAAAAAAACTTAAGCCTTTAGTCCGAATATGTGCATTAAGCACGTTTCTTTTACCTTACTGGAATGAATGGAAATCACAGTGAATGGGGAGTCGACAAGCATTACGATTAGCTCCTTTAGGGGCTTTACATAACTCTTTGCCGCTCCAGAGTCTATGTATTGTTTATTGTTTCCTTGCCCAAAATTCGTAGGATGTCGAAATTTAGAAGATGATGGATCTATGTCCATTGGTTCCGGGGACTGATTTTGTTTACCCTGATCTACCCAGCTTGGCCTCTCTAGCTAATGCCAGTGCTGCTGGCTGGTCTTTTGGCTGTGCTGGAAACACAACAGCTATTAGTGACTTTTTCAAACCGGAAATAAAGCTCTTTCATCGTCATGTGTCATCACAATTTTGTTTGTTCCGAGGGCCAATTTTCGTTCGACCACATTGTAGTACTGCATAAGGGCTTAGTCGCCCTGACAAACCGATTCAAGTCCCTGCCGTAATAGGCGCAAAGATGTCTTATCTGCGTAGGTGCAGTTTAATCTAGCTAAATTGACTTTAAAATTAAGTATTGTAGGAATGGTCCCTTAATTTGGTTTCTAATAATCGTAACGGCTTGGTAATGCGCACTACTCCCCGAGTACGATTCAAATAATTCATAGGCATCAGTGGCTTTGAGGCCACGTGCTCATCTTGTACGGCAGTAAAATCTGGAATCGACTTCACTATTTGTAAAGGAATATCGCACTGTAGTGCTCAAGGTACTACCGCTACCCTCTGGTAGTATTCTACCTCTGGCGCTACTATACGAAAACTCTGAAGTTGCTGGTTAACGGCACTTAACTGACCCTCGAATTCGGCTCTGATCCTCAGTTCCTGATTAGTTAACGCGGCCTGAATTAATGCCTTTATTTGTGTCGAGTTTATGGCATCTGTGATTTTTTTTGCCTGCGCTCGTGCTGGTTGATATCTACGGGGCTCTCTGCCTAACTCTTCTTCACTATCACTTTGAAATTCACGATTAGTTTCCCTATATGAGTCCGGAAAACTTATAGGTCCACTAACTGGTTGACACTAAACACAAGTTATTGGAAGACCGAATGTTTTAATTCGACAAAAGTAATTTTGTATGTTATATTTGTATTAATAGCCGGGCGCCTCCGAAAAATGTGTATTCAGCGACGGCTGATATTAGCTCGATTTCTTTGTAAGTCACATTTAAGATTACCTTTATTTAAACTGCATATGTTAAGATTTTGGGTAATAATTTTAGGGATGATAACACACAACTTTCCATACACTGCACCAATAGGAACCAGGAACGGCCCCTAAAGACGCTTATGCTGAATCTACATACAAACACTAGGGTGATCTAATAATCACCCAAGATCCATATCGACTCATTAGCATTACATTTAAAATGTTCCCACTTGGCCCGCTTCAGCCAGATATTTGAATTGTTGCCTATCGCAG